TGATGTAATATGTAAGCTGTCTTCGGACAGCCCACCTGTTTGAACTAATAAAGTGCCAGGGGCCTAAGTGGTCACCTTAATATTAAAAAAAAAAAAAAAAAAAAATTAATTTATATCAATAACTGCAACTTAAATAACTTCGAAAGTGACAGCTCTAACTACAAAAACATATTGAAAAGAGGTAAGCATTAACAAAAATTTAGTAAAAGTTTCATTGAAAGTTTTGGGCAAATATATCTACGAAAGTTTAAACAAAAACTCTAATGAAAATTCCAACAAAAGTTCTAGCAAAAGTACATAAAATTCTAGTGAAAGTTCCGGTGAATATTTCAACAAAAGTTCTAGTAAAGATCTCAGCAAAATTCTAATAAACATACTTGTGAAAGCTTATATCATAACAAAGGTTTCAGTAAAGACAGTAAAGACTCTAAAACAACAAAAGCTTCAGAAATTATGACTCAAATAACAGCAAAATTATCTGCATATCTAAAAAAAAAAAAAAAAGGGTTTAGCTTAAGAAGACAAAAAATACAAATAAAAAAATAAAAAATACAAAAAAAAAAAAAAACTGAAAAAAATTGAAAGTAAAAAGAAAAATAAATAAATAATTATCAAAATAATTATTATTATATATGATCACCAATCTTAAAAATAATTGGCTAATTATATAGGGGTTGCTATGTGATGAGTTGCTAATTTATTTTTCCTTTTAAAATAATTATGGGGGATTATGCTGAAATCAGATTATGCTGAAAAATGGTGTCTCTTTTAAATCTATACTACTTACTAAAATCCACATATACTTTTTAAATAATAAAACTACCACCTAATCCTAACCTAACCCTAAAAAAAAAGACCACAAAAAAGGCTCTAAAAAAATTCTACATTTTCATAATAAAATACAAAAAATTTTCAGTATAATCCAATTTCAGTATAATTTACCACAATAATTATATTTTAATTTTCTTTTTCATTAATATCAAGACTAATAATATTTCACTAGCTTTTTTTAAATTATTTTTATTTTATTTAAATTTTTTTAAACTATTTCAAAATATTGTACAATATTTTCAATATATAATATTTTATAATATCTTTCGAAATATTTTAAAATTTTTTACACAATATTACAAAATTTATATATTTTATAATATTTTGAAAGTATTTATGTAATATTATAGTTTTTTTACATTTTATAAATTATTTTGAAATATTATGCTTTTTTAAATTTGCTGATGTAAAAAAATATAACCAATAGGTAAATAATAAAATCTGATAGAACAGTATAGTACTTTTAATTTTAAATATTTTATAATATGTATTACTTAATAGCTATAAATACGATTTAGTAAAGTTTGAGACTATAAAAATTTTAAAGCATATATTTTATTTTATAAACTATCAAAGTAATTTGGAAGTTAGATAAGGAGTATACAGTATATAAGCATTTAAGTTTAGCTTATAAGTATAATAAATTAATTAAACTTGACAATTTAGGCTACTTTTTACTCATAAAAACTTTTTTATTATAATCTTAACTTTTGATAGTAAAAAACATTAATTTTGTAAAATGAAGTATAGTAGTAATATTATAACTATATAATAAATAATTATTATTTATTGTTAAAATTTATTCAAAATAATTTATATATGAAACTTTAATATTATACCAAAAAATAATTTAATTAATTTAAGTCTTAATATATAAAATAAATATTTTTTAATATAAACTTGAATCAGTATTAACTTTAAAACATTTAAGAGTAATAGTTAATTTATATTCTTTATATTCATACTCTCAAAAACTTTAAAGAGCTGACAATTATTAGATGATTTTCTAGAGGGAGGAGATTAAAAAAATTGAAATTTTATATATAAGATCTGATAAATTATATATTAAAAACTAGAAGAGATGATCTTTTGATAAAAAAAATCAGGTGATAAATAACACTACTCTTTACTTAAAAGTGAATATTTTTACTATATACTACCAGTACTAGCTATATGAGTTCTAAATATTAGAAACAGATTATGTTTTTAATAAAGATTGTGATAATCTAAAATAAGATAGAATTATTTACAAAATACAATAAATAGAATAAAAAGATAATTTCATATACAATTCATTCATATATTAGATTTTTGATAATATTTTGATCTTTACAAATTAGCCAATTATATGATGAATTGCTTAGTGTAACCTACAAGTGACTCATCTATTTCTACTCATAGATGCTACTTAGGTTCAATTACTAGCTATAGTATTGTAATAATAATAATTTATTTTAAATTTATTTATACTATTTTTTATACTTATTTGAAATTTTTTTTTTTTAATATTAAAAGAGATCTCTTTGGCCTAAGATATTTTATTAAATAGAGATAAACACTATATATTTTGACAAAGGTATATCAAGCCATATGTGCACTTTTGGTATCTAATTTAAATAGCCTACCTAAAGCATTAATACTATACTAGAAGTTCTACATTATTTGCTGTACTTATAATCTAACTATAGAATTACTCATTTTAAACTTTTTGGCTACATTATATTTGACAAAGCCTATACTTAATCTAGATATAACTCACTATATAGTTGGTAGCTTTTGCAACACCTTTAGATTTAGCTTCTTTTTTTAAAACACTTTACTATCCTCTAACAGAGTAGTCCATGTTCTACATATATATTCACCTGCATGTTCAGTAACTTCTTTCTAATTAGTATCTGTTGTGCTGCTGTTATTAGGTTTGTATTTTAAGCTAACTTTTGTGATGCTGCTATAACCTGATTTATATCTCAAGCTATAACCTTCCTAATTAGTTGCTCATTATATACTTCTTGCTCTTGTAAAGTTTATAACAACTTCAGTACTCATATTTAAATTATCTTCTTACTTGAATTCTTTATTAATCTCTTCTTTACTTCTAGTTAGCAATCTGGAAGAGTCAGTCTGCTTAGGCTTTAGGTGCTTCATAGTTTCCCTTCTCTTGATCTATACTTTTAGAATATAAGTTTTTTTCTTTTGGTGTATTACTTAACAGTTTGGCTAGTATATCTCCTACTTAAGGATCTAGTCATTTGGTTTTCTAATCTCAGGCCCTGGTTTGAATTCAGCTCTCTTGTAGTACTGTTAAAAATTATTGCTGCAAATAGTTTTTAGTTATTTTAGTTTTTTGGATTTATAGTTCTAAAGCTCCCATTGCTAAATAGTGTGATCAAGATTACAGATTAAGTTCTAGATCTAATCGATAATTAATAATTATTAATCATAACACATGTTTATTTTTCAAAATCATTGTTTGTAAAATTTAAACTTTAGATTTGCTACTTGAAAAAAATAATGACTAAACCACTACACTAAGTTACTATACCTCCTTATTTGAAAAATATATTAAAGTTTAGATTCTATTATTTAATATAGAAAATTTCTTATAGTTATATATATATTTATTTTAAAACTTACTTATTTTAATATATTTAATTATAAAAGTTATCTAATTATAAAAAAGCTGCAAAAGAAAAAGAAATTAATACAATTAAAAAAAAAGCAAAAGTTTAATTTATTTAATTTAAAAAAAAAAGCAAAAGTTCAATTTATTTAATTTAAAAAAAAGTAAAAGTTTAATTCAAAAAAAAAAAAAGCAAAAATTCAATTTAATTTATTCAATTTAAAAAAAATAAAAAAATAGCAAAAGTTCAATTTATTTAATTTGTTCAATTCAACTCTTTCGTTTCAATAATTTCACACTTTTCCATTTCTTTCTCTTCTTTTAATTGTTTTGCAAGAACTAGCTTTTTAGCTTCTAATTTTCGAACCAGGTCCAGTTTTTCTTCTTCAAAAAAACAAAATTTCAATTTGTTTAATTCAAAAAAAAAACAAGTTCAAATTATTTAATTTTTTTTTAATATTTAATTTGTTTAATTCAAAAAAAAAGCAAAAGTTCAATTTAAAAAAAAAAAAATTGCATAAATATAAAAAGAGAAATAAACTAAAAAAAAAAGATAACATTAATTTTCAATTTGACATCTCTAATTAATTATCTCACATTAGAAAATTTAATACAAAACCCATAAGTGCCTCAACTTAGTCAAACCTTATAATAGTTTTTTAAAATAATTTAATTAACAATTTTTTATTAATTTTATAGATAAAATTTTGATTTTATATAGTAAGTAGTAAAAAAAGTTTTTTTTTCTTTAAAAACTGTAAAAGTTTAAAATTTTTTAAAAATTTTTTTAAAAATTTTATAATAAAATTTTAGAATTAACTAAATTTCATATTAAAATACAGTATCTTTAATAATTTAAAATTAAATTATAAATTTTACAGAAGATTAATTAAAAATATCTCAAATTTTTATTTTAGCTTAGAAATAGAAAACATATTCTTAATAAAATTTTAATTATAAAAAATTACAAAAAATAATTGTCAGGATTTTCGTCTTGATTTCGGAATTTGGAATTTTTGTTATTCCAGTTTGTGACAATACAATTCAAAATTTTGAATATGAGCTAAAACCATTTAACATTAAGGTTATGAGTTTTTATTAGAATTAGAGCTATTGTTATGTGTAAAATTATGGTTTAGACTATCATTTTCTGTATTTTTCGTAATTTCTTTTTTTTGTTGTTTGGAATGGTCTTCTTGATCTGATAATTCTGGCATCCTTATGAGTTTTGCGAACCCTATAGTAATATTAACCAAAATTATAAATACCATAAAACTCAGAAAATAAGCACCACACTCTTTATTTTCCCAGATTAACGGAAATAGCAATAAAACCTTTACTCATGCTATTCCGTTAATCTGAGGTTGAAAAATTAGAGTAGAAGGTTTGTGGTGCTTATTTTCTGAGATTACGGTATTAATAAAAAATTATATTATTAGTATAGTATCTTCAGTAGGATTTAAATACTAGACCATGGCTATGGCTAGAAATATGACAACCTAACCATTAAATCAAATTACTGCATATACCTTTAAATTAAATTTACAATATTAATATTTTTAAACAGAAGGCTTCTTTCTAAGTTGCATTGTTTTTAAATTATAATTTTTGGGTTCAAAAGGGTCTAACATTAAGAAAAAAAAGAATGTTACGATTTTGATTGTCTTGTCTTTAAGGCTATGCGAGACCAAAGTGACAACACGAAATATCTATCAAGTCAGATTCTTAGTAACAAAATATAAAATATAATAGGTATATAGTCCATTTAAAAAAAAGTATCAATTATTATGATACGACAATTTTGGTTAAATCCGCTATACAGTTCACATGAAGGTAAAATCTGTTAAACATATAAAAAACGCCATCGCTACGTATGCTAACGCGGATTTCTATTATCAAAGCGCCAATTTCAACTATCGAAAACTTTTCTTGCCAAATATAGTATCCAATTCAGGGCTGTCAGAGCCAAACTACTTTTTTTAGTATTACGCCATCAAAAATGGTTCAGACGATCCGGCATTTTTATACAAAAAAATCAAATTTACTACTTTCCGTGCTTAGCATTGCAATCTCTCTAAATACAACATCATAAATTAAATGAAAACACATTAAAGATTTTTATTAAATATTTAACTTGTAATTATATAATTTTTTTCTTTTATTAAAGTTAAATACAAATATCGGTTCAGATGTTTTTTTTTTTTTTTATGAAAAAAAATGTAAGACATGTATAAGGGGAATTTATAATTTTGGGTTTAAATTTTGACTTGTACTCGCTATATACCTGATTGAGAAATTTTTTTTTTTTAAAAAAAAAATGCATAATGAAAATAATTAAAAAAGGGAAATATTATTATTATGAGACTAAAAATACAAACTAATAAAGTGTAAAAAGCCTAAACTCCAGAATGAAATAAATTTACAATTTATGCAATGGTGTATCAATAATTTTATCTACTCGTTATAGTTATCATTAGGTTTTATTAAACATTATCATCATTATCATCTTTACCACCTTCTTCAGATTCCGAACTTTTTCCTTTATCAGCTTCCTCTTTTGGAGCTGTAGTTCCCTTTTTAGATTTTCCACCACCAATAAATGAAAATAGTTTTGAAGAAGTACTTTTTGGAGGTGGATTCTGTTCTGATGACGGATCAAGTTGTTCTATCATTTTTGATTGATAAGTTGGAGCACCAGTCGTGCTAGAAGTTGATTGACCGGGTTCTCCTGTTGACTCAATAATTCCAGAATCTGATTTTCTTTTAGGTAACGTTTGTGTTTTTTTTAAAGTCTCACCAATCTCACCAGATGTACCTTCAATATTAATAATACTTTCTCCAACATGTCCGTGTGGAATATCATGAATTTGCATTTCATCCCTAGGATATGAAATAGTTGGTACACCATCATCTTTCATGGTAAGATATTCATGACGAACTTCAGAATGAGTTGGAGATGTATCACTATCTTTTCCACTATTTGGACTTTCTGGTTTTGATGGGATATCAGGAGATTCAGCTCTAATCTTTTGTTTAAGCAACATTGACGAATAAAGTAAACAGGCAATTTTGAATAACATGATTATACAACTTGATGATAATGTTATTATTGGTATTATGCTCGGTAGGATTGTGTATATATGATACAATGTCTATTTACATGAAATCAATTGATCCAGATATATATAATTAGACAAATGAACGAAAAATAGTCTTTTAAAGAAGAGAATATATTTTTTTTAATAGTTGAATTAATTAAATTAAAACAACTTTTTAAATTAATACTCACCAAAATAATAAGTTGTGGTAAATCTTCAATTATTATCGAAATAATATTAAATATTCTAATACGTTTCATGGCAGTTATACTAAATGGAGCACTTAATTCTTCGAGTCGACCACATTCAGATGATAAAATATTTAAAACATCAATATCTGCGCCCGCTAAAATAGTAAATAATAAGGCTGTTTTACTACTACGAAACCACCAATTACTAAATTTCTTATTCTTCGATATTTCTCTAGATATTAATAAAAATGTAAATCCAGAATTTACGATAATTGGGATCGTTATAAATATTACACTATAAAAAAATGGAATTAATATTATTATTAGAATTTAAAAATCAAGTTTTATACGAATAAAAAGATGTTTATATGTATATATAATATACCTTGCAGGGTACAACCAGTACAAGTCTTGACCGTGAACTACTACAAATAATATATCTAACACGAAATCGATTACCAGAAACGTAAACATGAATACTGCACAATGTTTTCCCTATTTAATAAAAAAAATTCGTGATAATCAGAATGACAATGAATAAAATATTCGATTTATATATATATATATATTAGATTTCATTATGGCTTTTAATTATTAAATTTTATATGTAATGCGTATAAAAATTCAAAATTTTAATTTTTCAATCATGGCAAATTATATATATATAATTTTAAAAGCTATAAATAATCATAAGTTATCGTATAGAAAATATCGGTACAGTAGTATGGGTATAGATCATAGGTCACGATAGCATACATCATCTACTGCCTTCATATGATAACGTTATTATCGTCCGGCGGTTGTTACTATCATATATATTTTGATATATTTAAATAATATGTTCTAAAATGTTATAAAACTGAAGATTGATTTTCTTTAAGCAGTTTTTATATATAGAACTTTTTTTTTAGGTTATCAGTTATTTTAGTATTATTAGCTTTAGAACAGTCAAATTTGATATGGCAGTAACAACATGGCCGTACGATTATGAAATTTATGTTTTTATTATAAAAAAAACACTTTACCTTTTTATGTCTCATAATTGACAAGCAGACGAGAATGGATAGTACGCCCACTATAACAAGTAATATCCATAACAAGAATCTATAATTATTCCACAAATCCTCTAATAAAAAAATATTATGTTAATTTTTAAGGTTATTTAATAGCGAAATTTAATTTACACGTGACTAAGTCACGGATTAATCAAATTATATATACATATATATATAACTCACGAGTAAGCTGGCTTCCATACGAAGAATCCAATAAAGAAGTGCAAAATTCATGAGACACTCCAGTAACTCCTCTATTTTTAATCAAATTATCCAAATCTTTTAAAACTTTTGTTGGAACTCTTTCCTTTGATGAATTAGCGTCGTAGTTTCTGACATCAATTCTTATTAATACTTGTCTAGAATCGTCAAGTTGATAGTTACTTGTGGTTTTAATACGATCTTTATCACATGGAATTATATTTGATAGATCTTCAGACATCTCAGCAGCGAATTGGCTACGATTTGAATCAGAAAGTTCTCTGAAATATTTTGAACCTGCCGGCGTTAAACGAACTACAGCACTTTCCTGAGCTAATTATATAATTCGTATATACTAGCATCGTGAGTTTAATATGTTTAACAATAAGGAAACATTTTAATAAACAAAGATATGTGAAATGAATTACCAGGATCGGTGAATTGATCATTGCTATCTAATAATAAATTAAATTGATTAATAAATTATAAATTAAATTGATTAGATCTCTGCGCCACGAAACCACGAAACCACGAAAATAAATTAGCCGCAGTAAACAACGCGTAAACGCGGCATGGCGCAGTCAACAAAAACAAAATAATAACACGTCTTAAAGAATAAAATTCGTGGATCACGTACCAGTACTAACAATCCAAAGTGAAGGTCTAATGCCCAAAAGTGGTTGACTATTTTGAATATCTTGGACAAATGCATTATCAACCTGGATAAAATAATTCGACGATCGTTGATTAAATGTACTGGTCAACACGTCGAATTGTACTTGATTACTATTATTTCCATTTAACAGTCTAACATATCTACTGTCAGTTCCTTGAAAAGTTTGTCGAAGTATTGGAGATGAGCCATTTGATTGATATATTGATACATTTCCAGATGATAAAATGATATTTGTGGTGAATGTTATCGTTAGAGATGGAGTGCTTGACAAGGGAACTATTGAAGAATTTCCAGGAGAAACTGCGCTGATGAATGCATTTTTGAAACCATCCGGATCCGGAACTTTGATAGAAAATGATAGATAAGTTTACTTAATTCAAAAAATGATAATAATAATAATAATAAAAGAATTACCGGTTCTAAAATCAACTAAAGCTGATGAAGTTTCAAAGGTCCAAGTGAGATTATTAGGACCATTAACTATAGCCCATAAAGTATTATTAGGATATACACCAATATTTCTAGTATAATTAAAAGTTGTTGGCATTCTCCAAGTTCCATTAGGATTACCAACGTCATCATATAGTAAACCATCAATTACAGTGGTATTAATATTCTGTCTTAAAACACAATAACCTCCTTGATATAAATTTAAAATATTCCAAACAACATATTGATAAGTTTCTAATCCAGCAATAGTAAATTCTTGACTAATTTTTCTAGCACCAGTTCTAAAAAAATCAATAGTTATAAAACTAGGTTCAGTTGCACCAACAAGAACTTGATATATTATACAATTATATCCCGAAGATTGAAATGATATAGAGCATGTAGATATTTTTAATTGATTTAATGATTGTGTTGTTTGTTCATATAATTGAAAAGGACCTTTTGTACCACTATCTGAGATAAAATATACAAACACCGTCCACGGTGGAGTATATGCAGTACCTTGTGTAGTTAAATTTGTTGTATTATATTGAGCAGTCACTATTCCATAACCTCCATCTTCTAACGGAAATATTGAAGTATAATTTGGACTAAACTTTGTTATTCCATTTATCCTTCCAACCCCTAACGTATTCATAGTTCCACTAGAGTCACTATTTTAATAATTATAGATATTTATAAGAAATATTAAAAACATTAATATATAAAGAATTATATATTATATATATATAAAGAAGTAAATATATCCAGAAATATAATGAATTAGTTTGTTGAAAAAAAATAGAAAGGAAACCACAACAATTTTTAAATAATAAAAAAGCTTACGGAGTTCCAAATCTTCTCCATACTAACTGACTATTTGATTTCATATAACACACCCAAAAAAATTCACCGATATTTGGATTTATATTCTGAGCGATATTTACATCATCACAATTATCTCCAAGATTTATTCCTCTATTTTAATCATTCAATAAATCAATTAAAAAAATAAAAAAATAAATAAAAAAATTAAAATAAAATAAAATAAAATAAAAATAAATAATAATAATAATTAATTAATTTGATTAAATTTCATTAAAAATTATAAAGGTTTATTGACAAATTAATCAACTTACGAACTTAAAACATTTCCATTCCAGTCCAATAAAAGTCCGCAAACGCTAGGGCTAGGGCTTGTTAAATCTCCACACACATAAGAAATTAATATATAATTTGTAGCAATTCCATAAACTCGTAAACTATCAGTTGGACTACTAATTAAATTTATGGGAAATGCATAGCCAGCTAACCAAGTTAAAGTCATTCTCTGCGGTATTGACGCCATTAAAGGTCTTAAGGTAAAAGCGATTTCATTATTTACAAAACAATAATTTTGTGAAGAAATATTATAAATAGCGGTATTGTTTAAAGTAATTTGTGAAATTGTTCCATCAGTTCTTATTAAACGAAAATATAAACCACTTGCTCTACAATTCCCATCAGCATTAGGACGAATTCTAAGTAAGATCGTTCCATCATTATATGTAGCATATTGTGTTATTTGAAACCCTTCAAATGAAGGATCTTCTTGATAATTTATTTCATCTGCGGAACAGGATTGAAAAAAGAAGGTAAAAAGTATTATAGAAAAAATTAGAATGGAAATAAAGTTAAATGACACTCGCTCGGCCCAATAAAATCTTTTCATAATCGAAAAATTTAAATTGGGTGAGCAAAGAATAGTGAAACAATTTTGAAAGCCGTTTTGACTAGTAAGGAATGATTTAAAAAAAAAAAAATACAAGAAGGGAAAGGAAAAGAAAAAAAAAAAAAAAAAGGAAAAAGAAAAGAAATAATACTTTAGGGATAGGGAATCGAAAGAGTAAAAAGAAAAGAAAATTGATTTGTATAAAAAATGGATGAAATAAAAATAAACGGTTACAAAAATTGACTTTCCTTAATTATCCCTAACTGTAAAAGGAAAATAAATTCTATTCTTAGTTTGGGAATCTTCATTATACAGACAAAAAATTATCAGAAAAATGGGGGAAGTACGAATACAATCCGGTCAGAAGCAAAAAAATTACATTTGACAGGAATATCAGCAATAATTGATAATACAAAATATGCCGTGTTAAATTACCATTTTGTGTACATTTATTCTTGCATCTCGTAATTGTTTTTTTTTAAATTAATTCCTAAAACTTTATCATTGGTTTGTAGCATTTATACACATAATAAATTTTTTATATTTTTTGATATTTTTTGATCGAAATCTAATAAATTAAATTTATATTAAAATATATAGTACAGAATAACCATATGACCGAATGTTTGAAAATTTTTTCACAAATTTTTTACTTATACGACAATATTTTCTTATATCTCTATAAAGTTAAACCCTATCAAGAACTTTCTAATAACAACCGTATTCCGTGTAGACCACAAAAGAACGCCCAAAGTTGCCTTTTTTTCAACGTATACTATAAATAAAAAAAATTATGAAATAAAATTATTCAAAGATGGGAACTTTTGGATTTGGTGCGATATAGTTACACGAACTTTTGTTATGGTAAATAACTATATTTGCCTATTTATCGAATACGTACAAAAACTTTATCACATATCACAGTAATTATTACAATATTTACATTACATACGTACTATATTTACTATATATACATATATATTTATAACACAATAATTATTACAATATATATACAGCATATATAAATATAAATATATATATGTATATATATATATATAAATATATATATATATATATATATATATATATAATATTGACATGCACAAAAATCTCAAATATACATCTATTCTGAAAATGGTTCACTTTAATGACGGGTTTCTATAACCGCATTTGTTTAAAAAGGAGGACTATATCAGTACGAAAGCTTTTTTCTAACTACATTAATAGTAAAGATATAAATATATATTAACTCTATTTAGATTTTTAATGTGCATTGTCTATCTTTAAAGTAGGAACCGATTTATTTATTTGAAAATAAGGAAATTAGGAAAAAATAAGTGGGGGATATAACTAAATTATCGATAATGCATTTATGATTGCATTTATGTCACGAGAAAATTAAAACAAAAATTTCGGCTAAATTGTGATAATGCACTAAATGACATACATTAAATAATTATGCCAATAGTTTTTCATCAGTGTAAAAAAAATATAATTGTAATTAACTTATTAGGAGATCAATTAAATTATGTTCAATTCGGCCAATTATTTTACTGAATGAGTATACGCACGCGTAAGTATGTATATGCTTATTCCCGTGTTGTTATTATGATGTTGCACTCCACGGAAATAAGAATGGTTTTTTTTCTGCTACGTACGTACAATATACAGTACTCTAAAACATGCAGTTAATATCAATTACTACAAATAATAAAAATGTTTGGGTAACACATTATTAATTTGATACATTCTAATAAGCCCATTCAGATTTACCTTTTATGTTTGTTATAATCAACTATTAAACTACCTGTGTCCGATTGATTCCATTGCTTTGTATTTGATTTTTTTTTTTCGAAAATAGGAAAAGGGTTGATTCAATATATAAATATTATAAATATTGTGTCAAGAATCAAATTATTTCAGGTGAAAATTTGAATACAAATTTCATTAGGAAACCAAATTATAATGAAGATAAGTACGTACTAGGTGTTTTAAGTCTTGGTGTAGATATATTAATTATGACGTACAACATTAATTAAAAACACCGTACAGTGTAAATAGTGTAAATAGTGTGAATAGTGTGAATAGTGTGAATAGTGTAAATTGAGGATTATTACGTGAAACTTTACACTGATTCTTGTACATTATCTATTATGTGTTTCTTGTAATTCTTGTAATTCGTGTGATCCTTGTGGTTTTTGTGACAATAAGAACCCATTTTCATGTCATTCTAATATGTTTAATATGTTTAATATATGTTTAATCTGTTTAATATATGTTTAATATGTTACATACTAACGGCAAAGTCAAATATCCGTTCCATTATCTGTTATGCGATTCTTGTGATTCTTGTAATTCTTGTGATTTTTGTGATAATAAGAACCCATTTTCATGTCATTCTAATATGTTGTATATATGTTGTATACTACCGGCAAAGCAAAATATCCGATCTATTTTTTAAGTAAAGATTACCGGGTATACTCCCCGTCCTATCAGTCTACTTCTTGAATAAGACCCAGTAAAGTTTCATTTATCTGTTTCTATCATTTTTGAATAAATAAAGAAAACCTTGAAGATTTAAAGTAATTCTACTAAGTAAGCCATTTTATTATAATAAAAATTATATACAGTATATCCTTGCGTTACACGTAAGGTTAAATATTAACGATACCTGACTTATTAATTTACAATTAAAGTGGTAATACGAGTCCAGTTTGTAAGCATTAAAGTTTTAATATCATATTTCAGGTTAGCAGTAGTGTCTAATGTTAAAGCTCAGTCGATCAATAACTAACAAATCGGGACTATAATTATAACTGTATACGTAATAAATACTTACGTACTGTACATACATACGTAAGTACGTTATCAGTTATCGATAAGTTCTTTCAATGTCTACATAAAGATAACGTACAGTACGTTAATGTTAAAATCACATTTAATTGATAGAAATTAGCCAATCAAATTTTTGAATATTTAGAATAATTGTCTAAGCCAGAATCAATTTAGTAATGAGGCAGATAATCAATTTGCTATTAATAGACCTTGATATAGTTTTTACTGAATGTTTAACGTTTAATGTTTATGTTTGAAATAATTTTGGTTAATTCATCATTCATCATCATCATTCATCACACCATGTAAGAAAGCCAATTCAAAAGAATTGCGTAAAATATACATTGTTCAAAATAATTATAGCGTGAAAACCAGAAATAGAACATCGCTTAATGGGTATTATAAAAAGTTTGAATTAAAATAAAAATTTTTAAAAAATCGATTCAAATTGTGCATTGAGAATTTTTTTATCGCATTGATTTACTGAAATAGGAATGCTTATCATCATTATAAAGATTTAAATAGGTCATTGAAATGTATAGAATGAATAGTTGAACTTAAGATGTCTACTTATATATTAAGATATTCGTGAATTTAGTGCAAATAAAGTTAAATGAGGAATTCTCATTGAACTTGGTGTACTTCGTTGATGAAAATAGAATAAAGTAGTTAAAAGTAGTTAACTAATTTGCGTGGGTAATATAATAGGATACTTGTGAAACTAAGTGTAAGGCTATTGTAATTTCCAAATAATAGTTAGAAAATCGTGTGAATCTCTTCGCATAAATAATTATAAAGTGATACTTGGAGATATAAATAGATTATCGGAAGTAGAAATCAGAACATTCACGTTAAAGAATCAAAAAAAAAAAAACGTAAATATATATTATAAATAGCATTTACATATTTGAAAAGTTGCCCAATTAAAGTAACCTTTAAACAAAATTGAAATTTTGAAATTTTGTGAAACTTATCACGTCATAATTAGGTCAAGACTGCAATAACGATAATGATAAATCTTGATTTGATAATCGAAACAAAATCGATAACGATTATAAGAAAGTACTTTACCTGTTTATTTTATGGCGGTTAATGTTGCTAACAACGAGGTATTGATACAAATCAAGATAATCAAGATTGTTAGCGTTAATGAGAACAAATTGCAAAATAACAATAATTAAAATATATATAAATGCAAATTTTAGCTTGATAATAATGATAAGTTTATAGTGTTAAATGATGAACGATAATCCGGATATTTGTCCGGATGAAGTGTCATTGTCTCCATGTCATAACGATAAGGTTATGAATGTTATAGAAATTGGCTTGGTCACGTGGTTCGGCGATCAAAGTTGGTTCGGACAGACATCGCCAAGAAAGATGTCTTGGCAAAGAACCTAATGATCTTAACATCTCGGATCCAGATCAAATGTAGTATAGCTCACAATATTCAAGTTTCAAATAAAATTAGGAAATTATAGCAATACTATCGCTATACCGGTAGTTATAAAAGGCGATACCATAGCTGATAGTTATAAAGTCAGGCAATACTATAGTTATACATAAATAAAATCAGGCAACTACAACATATAAAATCAGGCAACTATAGCTATAGTTCGTTTTTTCTTACCAATGAGATATTCGCCAAGAACAGGATAATTGCGAATATTGTTTTTTCGCAGAATTTTTTGTCTAAATATAATGACCAGTATAAGTATGATAATTTATCACGATTATACGTAAAAATATTTCAATTAAACTTTTCAAATCACTACGTATTAACTATTGATTATCTATATATTTAAGATGTGTTTAATATATTTTTTTTTTAAATTAAATCTATTATTATAAATAATATATATTTATTAAGAATTTAACTTATCCCATACGTACTGTATAAGCACATCCATTATACGATAAAAATTTCTCTTTAAAAGAACACATATTTTGCTGTAATTAATTTATTATTATAGTTATATAAAGAATTTAATTTATCCCATATAAGAATACTATTTTTAAATCAACTATTACGTATAAACAAAACTTTTGTAAGCCCAAACCTTCTATAAGCACACTTTCAAAATGCTTTGATCCTAAACGGCGTGAATAAAGAGAAACTATAATTAAACATAGAAATTATATTCATATAAATAAATTAAAATAATTATAATTTTTTCTTGTATAATTTTATATCAGATATGTTATTTACGTATTTTTTACTTCTAATTATAATATGAAACTTTTATCTTTAATTTTGTATATTTGATTTTATTTGTTTTTATTAGCTGATAATCAGATCTTAATTATATATAACATCTATAGGTTCCTGCAAAGTTGAAACTAGGTGAAAACACGTATCTCAGTAAACACCAGATAAATTTATGTCTCAACGGCATGTGGAATTCAAATGTCAATATTTGGGGGTGAGTCAATAGAAATCAAGCAAATTTTCTATAATAAAATTTTTTTATAACTTTAAACAAGAATAACTTAATAAAAACTTAACCAAATTTAATAAAAATTTTTTTAAATAATTTTTACAAACTTATAGAATTAATTTTAAAAAAAATTTATTAAATTTGTTCAGTTTTTGTTAAGTTATTCTTGTTTAAAATTTTAAAAAAACTTACTAAAAAAAATTTGCTTGGTTTCTATTGACTCAACCCCATTTACACTAAAATACCGTATGCCACTGCTTACAGTACCCGGCGTGACAAATAACGCGATCAATTTTTTAAATTACTATTTATATATGACATGTGATGTAAACAATTGAGCATTGCACGTGATCTTTAATTTCTCACTATGTAAAAAATCGTGTCACACCGGTAAATATTAACTTGGTATTATAGTAAACATAACTTCGTAATATTTTACTAATGCTTATGAAGCTCATACTATTACATATTACAGTAATATATATGGTATTCTCACCATATCTAAATTTTACCATACTTAAATTTAGCTTATTTGCTTCGTTATACTATACTGTATATATTTGCTTATATATACCCACAAATTCTAATAAATAACCTAAACGTTTAAATAAAAGAAAGTTTTTTCTGTAAGTGCCAAAAGACAAAATAAAAACTTGATATAAAATTTTTATTTTCGGTTTAACGTGATAGCAATTTAAACATTTAAATATATTAAATTGACCTTTGTTCATTTCTGCAAATAACTGATTTAAAACTAATTCAGAATTGCTCAAAACCGCGATTGCAACAAGTTTTCTTTAAAACGATTGGACTAAAAATAAATTTTTGTGATTTTTAAATGATAATCTAATCATCTGATTGATATTTAGCGTAAGACAAATTTATTTGATTGGTGGATCTATTTCAAATTGGCCTATGTGTACCGGTATATTGTTTTTTGACGTATCCAAAAATTAAATATTGAAAAAATTATCGTGGACCTGCATCACCTGAAAAAATTGCCGATCATTTGTCTAGATTTGGTCAAATGATCTTCAAATTTGACCAGAATTAGTTTCTCTATTTATAACATTATTTATCATGTCGGTCGACGAAATATCGACTACGACTAATAGTCAACTATAGTCAACTATAGTTGTAACTGAACCCATCCCTAGACCAGTCATTTGGCGTGACAAATAAGTGCTAACTAATTTATTAAATATTATCCACTTAATTTTAATTAACATTCATTATCACGGGTGCGTAATAACATAGAATATAATTAAAGTAAGTCATTCATTTAACGTTAAGTACATATGTGCAATTGAATGCTTAATGAAAAATTCTTGATTATAAGCAAAAGATTATGACAACGAGTACATGTAACTACCAATCATTTTTAAAAATATTTATATAGTTTATACAAAATATTTATTAAATTTTAAACTTAATAATTGAATATTCGTAGAGATTAAGACGGATTTAAAAAATTGCAATATAATATATTTCGATTATTCTAAATGTAGTAACCTCAAAACTATTAGAATAGGAGGATATGCTATTGTATATTCGGCTATCTTCAAAGGGCAAATAAATGCTTTAAAAAGCCTAAATAATAATCCGAGTTTTGATGATAAAATATTCAAAAAATTAGAAAAGCGGTTATGTGAATTATTCATATTTATGTCTGTTTTTTTTTTTTTTTTTAAATATTATTCGTTTATATTTATTTAGTTACATGTATGTAGCTTAAACTCCTTTTTACTATAGATCATAAAATTCTATGGCATTTCGAGTGGTGTAAGTTTAGAATACTGTTAATTAAACCTTATATAAAAATGATATATTATTCTCTTTTTTTAAAACATAACACACTAAAAACAAAAGTAAAAATAAATGTTCTTTTATAAAAAGCTAGCAATCAATTTTTTATTCACCTTATGATGTTTATCCAACATTTGTAAAAAAATTTGAAAACTATCAACAGAAAATTTGTGCTGGTAGAAGAATCGTCAACCACTCCCTTCATGAAGATGTTCAAGCTGCTATGAATATTACCGCCCATAGA